TCTCTCTCTCTCTCTCTCTCTCTCTCTCTCTCTCTCTCTCTCTCTCTCGAGGCACATGTGCCCACAGCACACATGTGGAGGTCAGAAGATGACTTTGTGGAGTTGTTTTTCTTTCCAGCTTTATATGAGTTCTGAGGACTAAACTCAGGTCATCAGACTTGGCAGCAAGCACTTTTACCCACTGAACTATCTTGCCAGTTCTGATTACTTCTAAACCACATTTAGTATTCTTAGCTTAGGTTTAGCTGAAATAGATTTTTAAAAATAAAACCATGGTTTTTAGAACATGTAAAAATTTATAAAGAATTATAATTTTTGCTATTCTAAAGATTTTTGTTTTATACTTGCAAACAGTTCATAAATCTGTTAAACAGTCTTTTTTAAAAATTTAAATTCCATTTATTATTTCATGTATGTCTGTGGCTATACCAGTGCCATGCACGCATGTGGAGGTCAGAGGCCAACTTGTGAGAGTCCGTTCTTGCCTTCTACCACGTGGGTCCTAGGATTCAAACCCAGTTAGACTTGGTGGCAAGTACCTTTACTTGTTGAGCCGTTTCATTGGAACTTTGTACTTAACGCTCTTGTTTTAAACTGTAGGAAGAAGGTAAATTATTCTTAAGCTTTAAATGAATAATTTATTTCAAGTTTGTAATAACTTGTAGCTTAGAAATGTGTAGAAGTAACTGTATATCTTACATCTTCCCTTTAAAACTTAGGAGTAGTTGAATATATTTTGATAATGACTACTTATATAATGCAAATTACAAGCTTGGGTTGTTTAGAATGGAGGGGTTTTTGAAGGTGGCAGGTAATAAAGAACATTGAACAGGTGGAGAATTGGGAGCAGTTCTTGACACATTTCTTTTGGAATTAGGAACATGTGTATTTCTATTACTATTGTCATGTAATTTGAGGTAAAAGTTTTAATGAAGCTATTTGACTTTGAAATCAGAAGTCTACTTATTAAGCTAAAAGATGGATTCTTTTTTCTTCTCATCAGCTGACACATATGCTTGTGATCTAGACCTTTAATAAGTGAAGTCACTGCCAGCTCCTTTTCTCTAAGAGAATATCTTTTTTAATAAGATAAAGCCCATAAGCATTTTAGCTTTAAGTGGAAGTAGATAAGGATCTCTAACATAACTGAATGTGAAGTTTTTCTACTTAAATTACTTTATTCTAGCCCTTAAGTATTGCCATTTTCCTTTGTTTTTCTGTAGAGGAACCGCATTAGTTGCTTTGAAAGACCTGACAATGATTTAGGAAAGCACACTTGAAAGAACAACATAAAATCAGCGTTAACCTTTGTAGTGGCAGTCTCCAGTGCAGTTAAAGTCCACTGTCATTATGGTTTTTAGTTAATGTTTACTCTGCCCATTTGTTGTAATACATTCTGAATATAAACTGTGTGTCACTCTTAATACATCTCTGTTGATATTCAAAATGCTCATAGTAAATGTTATTTTTTTATGAGTTCAACATGTATATTTGTAAAGTGAGAAATACTTTTCCTTTTTTGTTTTTTGTTTTTGTGGTTGTTGGAGGTTTTTTATTTATTTTTGTTTATTTTTTGTTTGTTTTATTTGAAAACTGAATGGAAGCCAGACATGGTGGCACAGGCCTGTATCCAATACTTGAGAGGTTTGAGAGGCTGAGACAGGAAGATCATGAGTTCAAGGCCTGCCTTACAGAGCCAGCTCCTGTCTCAAGGGGAAAACAAAGAGATGATGATGCATAAGTAGAAAATGTTTATAGCTGGGTGTGGTGGCTCATGTATATATCAGGATTAAGTAATGGAAGACTGAGACAGGATTGCTGAGAGTTCAAGGCCAGCCTGGTCTATGTAGTTAGCCCCAGGCCAGCTGGGCCAAAAAGAAAGAAAAAGGAAAGGTTATATGAAGATACAGTATATTAGAAGATCCATAATTATATTTGGACTAACAATTTAAAATAAAAGTAAGTTGCTGAAGTGATATCTATCATTATTTATCTTATTGAATATTTTGTTATAGATAAAAGAATGAATTCTGTTCTTTGAACCGTGTCCAGATTTACCAATGACTGATTTCTGTCCTTCACCTCGCAAAGTTAACTTGGAGTGACTAATAGATTTAGTGGGGATTTTGAGGCTCTGTAGTTAGTGAAGAACAATACTTCATATGACTGATAGCCATTTGAAATTGAAGTCTTCATATTTTTCCTCCTGTATTGAATAATCATGTGAGTCATTGAAATGAGATCTAGTCTGATAATTAACACATTGCTTGTTAGACTTAGTGGCAGCAGCTTCCTTTGTATTCGTCACTTAGTTTTATAGTTGAGTCATAGATTAGAATGCTGATGGTCGTGAAATGTTTTGAGTTTAATTATTAACTGGCTAGGTTTTTTTTTTTTTCCTCTTCTTCCTCTCTTCAGTTTAAATGATTAGAGAAATTAGGACAAAGTAACAAGTGAGCCAGTTTAGAAACAGGCATCATATGGTATGTTTAACATTTTCCAGGTTTTACAAGCAAATACCCTTGTTAAAATACAGAAAACAAGTCATTTTATGAATAATTTTTAGGCAGTTTTGTAGAGTGCTTTTAGCCATTTTATATTTTGTAGAGTATCTTTGAAACCTGATACTTTGTTTAAAGATGTATTATTAAAGAACACCAAGTATAGTGGCCCAGTTTGTCATCCCAGCACTCAGGAAGTAGAGGCAGGATTGCTGTGAAGTATCAGACCAGCCTGGGCTACATAGTGAGACTCAAAACAAACAAGAAAACCACCACCATTACACCTACACATACAGATTGAGAGGTTTAGACCGCAGCTCTGCATTCTGAGGTAAAGGAGAGGGCTCTGGACACAGACATCGATCTGTCATGTATTTTAGTTGTCTTTAAGTAGATGGACTCTACTTACTTACTTTCTACTTCATTTTTTTCTTCAGAAGAGGAAGATGGAGTGTGGGAGAATGGCCTTTCCTATGAGTGCCGTACTTTACTTTTCAAAGCAGTTCACAATCTGTTGGAGAGGTGTTTAATGAACAGAAACTTTGTTCGAATTGGCAAGTGGTTTGTAAAGCCGTATGAGAAAGATGAAAAACCTATCAATAAAAGGTAAGCCATCTTATGTACCTCTTTTGATAATTGATGATTATTAATATGATTGTGTGTGTATTAAGAATGCTAACACAATGCTTAGTCTGTATGTCTCGTGTGCAGGTTTGCAGGGCTGGCCGTTGGTCTTGGGTAACCAGTTGCTCTGCTCTCCCTGGGAGACTGTTCCTCCACTCTCAGCAGTCCTCAGTTGCCTCTAGTCTTTGTCTGGGCTTCAGGAGCTGGGATTGCATCTATGGAATTTTTTTCATGTATATCTGAAGGTTTTTCAACTTGCTTTTTTAAATTTTAGTAGATGGGTGAGCTCATAGGCCTGGAGAAATAAAAGTTTTTTTCCCCCCTGTGAAAATTATCAGACTTATTATTTATTTTTAAACAATTTTTTACCTTTTTTTTTTTCTTAACCAAGGACTCATATAGCCCAAGCTGGACTTGAACTTACTGTGCAGCTAAGGATGACCTTAAATATACAGCATTTTTCTTTCTATTTCCCAAAGGCTGGGATTGCAGCATGTGCCACTGTACCCAGTTGTATGCAGTGGTGAGTGTCAGAACTCAGATTCTTGCTCAAGCACTCTACCAACTGAGCCGTATCCTAACTCCAACACACTTTAATTGTTAACAAAATAATTGTAAAACTTAGGAATGCATTCTCCTTCAAATTGTAGGAAAATATAATTACCAAACCATTGTAGGGACTCAGATTTCCCTGGAATTTTCTGCTCTGCTACCTTTAACTCCCTTGCCCACCTTATGGTCTCTCTTGGTATTGGCCTTCACACTGTACAGAAGATTGCAGGCAGGAAATGGAAGGGAAGTAGGAAATAAGGAGTGATGCCTGGTTCAGAGATGATTCTTTTCTGGAAACCGGATGTACATTGGCTATACTGAGAGAAGCAAATATTTGTAATTTAGAAGCATTACCACTCTGAACTTAGAAGAAGAAAAGTGGAGCTGGAGAAATTGGTCCAGTGGATAAGAGAGCTTGCTGTGCAAGTTCACCTACCTAAGTTAAAGTCACTAGTACTGACATTAAAAGACAGGTGTGTGTGTGTGTGTAGAACACACACACCTAAAGTTGATATTGAGAGTCCTCCACATTATTCACTGAGGTATGGTCTCCGTCATACTCATACCTCACTGATTTGGTTAGTCCCTGGCTAGCTTGCTGTGGGGATACTGTCTCTACCTGTGAGACTGGAATTAGAGTTGGACAACTATACTGATCTTGTATTTCTGTTGGTTGGGGGGGGGGGGGGCTGTGGAATCCTTGTCCCTTTTGCTTGGCCTGCAAGTACTTTAACTGCTAAGCCATCTCCCTCAGACTTCCATTGTTACTGTTATTTTCTGTTCCAGTGGTGCTCGTCCATCAATAATTTTCCTTGAAAAGGGTGCATGGGAAGCAATATTTTTGAAATCCTGAATGTTTGTCTTATCTTTTTATCTTACTGTCTTGTGAAGAGTTGTAATAGTAGCTTAATGTAAGATCTATAGAAGATTAGTAATCTTTTCCTTGTAGATTGCTGGAAATTGAGAGAGTTCATTTAGATAGCTTATATTTGTACTTAATTTATTTTAAATACTTTACTTCAGCGTTGCTTATCTCTGTTCTGAGCACCTGTGTTTGAATCAGTTTGAAGTTATCGAGAGAGAGAGAGAGAGAGAGAGAGAGAGAGAGAGAGAGAGAGAGAGAGAGATGGCTCAGCAGTTGAGATCCTTACTGCTCTTGTAGAGAACCCAGGTTTGTCCCTGACACCCCACCCCACCCCCGTGACTGAAAACCATCTGTAACTCTAGTTCTAGAGGATTTGACACCTTCTTCTGGCCTCCACAGGCAGCAGGTACAGCAAGTGGTGTGCATACATATATGCAGGCAAAACACCTTACAAATAAGTACATCTTTCTTGTTGTTTTTAAAGCATGGTCTCACTGTAGTTCAGCTGCTCTGGAACTCACTATGTAGACCAGGCTAGCCTACAGTCACAAGAGATCTGTCTACTTCTGTCTTCTGAGTGCTGGGATTAAAGGCATGCTCCACCGTGCCTGGCTTAAATAAGTCTTTTTTAAAATTATAAAAAGATTATAAAATCGGTTTCTGAGTCCACCTTTTTGAATTTTCATTCCTTTTGTTTTCATTTATACATTACACTCTTGTGTTCAGATACATACTGATGCTTTTGACTTCTGAGCCTTTCCATTGGTGTTTGGTTTTGTTTAGTTTGCACCTTGCTTTATCCACTTAACCTTTGTCTACTAACTAAATTAATTCTCAACCATGTTAGTGCTTCAGATCCTGTTGCTGTCTCTGCCATTCTCTGTGTCTTGCCTATTGCTGTCTAGATGGAGGAAGTGTCATGAGTCTAGAGAGGGAAATGAATGTGTTCATTTAGCCATTCAGCTACTGGAAATGTCTTCTTCGTTTTTCTTAGGAAAATCTCTCACATGATTGCTAATAATCGACAACACTACTTATATATATAGTTGGAGGTTTCCATGAATCACACAGATTCTACTTGCTGTTTATACAAGTAATTGAGCACTAGTGTTTTTCTGTGGGATTACCTAATTGAGAAAGGAGGCTAAATTAAAACTTGCATTACTGGAAATATTGTGTGTTGCATTGAATTACTTGCAGTTGTAGTTGTATAAACTTGATTTTAACCAGGAAAAATGAGTTAAATGCTGGTTTAAATCATTGGAAACTAAAACATTTTGGATATCAGAACTTCTGATACTTTTGGATTAGGGATGCTTACCTATATGAGCATTTTATAAAACAATAATGAAGTTGTCAGGGAGGAATGTTTATGCTGTGAACCTACTTGACCTAAGCAGAAGAGAATATAGTCCCTATCTCCTTACTTTTTTTTTTTTTTTTTTTTTT